GCGCCAGTAGGGCTTGGTGGGGCTGTGAGGATGGGACTGGCAGGCCTCCACAGCATCCTCCCTGAAGAGAGGGTACAGACCTGCATCTCCTCCATTCCCCTCTCCATTCCCAAGGTGCTTCTTTCTCCAAAAAGTGTTCAATTTCCTGTTCAGCCAGAGTAGGCTCTGAAGGGAATCAGAGACAAAATTATTTCTTGGGCTCTGGGGAATGTGCTACAAGACTAGACAGAGACAAACATACTCTGGAAATCAGATGACGTCAAGAGGCTCGCAGCCCGGATAGAGTGGCCCAAAGCCCAGGGAGGCAGTTTAATCATTTGTTCACTACACTGTGATGTCACTGGAGCCCACTGCCGCAACCCGAGGCTCTGCTGCTGGTGACTACTCCTTGACCACACATTTAGGAGTCACACACCTTGTGACCACGCCATTGCCACCAGATGTGTTTGAGTGCTACTCAGGTGTATTCTACTGCTCCATGGCTCTGTCTACAGCTTACACACCATGATCTTTTCTCATTGCTGTGTTTCACAGTTGTGCCTTCCTGTAGCAGTGTTGTGTGATAGCATTGGACAGCTTGGGTTTACTACCGTGCAACTGCACTCTATTGCTCCCTGATTGTATTCTCTTTCTTGTCACTGTGTCTCTTGGTTGCATGAGCTCATCCAGTACTATGTAATTTTGTTTTGTTGCTAGGGAACAGTGACCCATTGCTACATCATTACTTGTCATTGTCATGGACCTGTGTACCATTGGTACCCACCCAAGTTCTATTGTTTGTGACTGTGTTCTATTGGCTATGTAAATATTTGCCTGGATCCTACTTTGGTCTTCCCAGGCTCTGGCTTGTTGTTAAGAGCTGGAGCTGGGGGCTGAGTCTTCAAGATGAAATGAGGGCGAAGGATCGTGTTAAGCGAGAAGGTGGGGGAGAGTGGGGAGAGAGAGAGAAGTGGTGGGTAGGGGAGGGGGAAGGAATGATGAGCTGGAAGACTGAAGGCAGAGGTGGGAGGGTAAATGAAATGAAGCCAAGAGTGAGGAACAGGAGGGAAGAGATAGGGGCCTGGGACAGGCTAGAATGGGCAAGGGAAAGAGAAAGACTCACTGTCCTGAATACTATGTGAGTGTCTGAGGCACCCGGGGGTGTCAGGTGGCTGAAGGGTCCAGGGCTGGGCATCCAGGCCTCTACTGCCATCTGGTATTCACTTGGCTATATGCAAGGCAACATAGAGTCCAGAGCCTTGGACAGGGTCATCCCACCTCATCCTCATTGCTGTCCTTTGTAAATTTAGGAGATCAGACTAGAGGCTCTCTAAGGTTCTTTCTGACGTATTTCCTGTCTAGCAGGGTCATATCACATGGCTTAATAAGCATTTACCTACATCTGTGTTGGGCCAGGCCTGGACTGGGCCCTGGAGCCCAGAGACAAGGAAGCCAGTGTACTCTTAGTTCAAAGGCTGAATGGTAGTGGCTGAGTGAACCTAACCCAACAGCAAACCAAGGGGAGGAGCCAGTGCTTGTGGCCTCACCAGGTGCCCAGCAAGGGGAGCTTAGAGGGACCAGCCCACTGACAGGCATACTAGGGTTGGTGTTCAGAGAGCTCATGCTTGAGTAAGTTCTCCATCTAGACCACTCTCATCTCTGACATTCTGTGGGCATGGGGCAGCCCTTAGCCCCTTGTTTTCGCTCAGAGCCTCACAGAATCCTGTTTTAGTGCTCTTGGGCTACTTATTTCTCCTCTCTCCTCTGTCACTCACAATGCTTACTTAACCTCTTGCTTAAACACAGTTGCTCCTCATGGCTAACCTTGACTTTTAAAGGTGCAGTCTTGACTTCCAGCCAAGATGAAGACCTAGGTAGATATATTTTGCCTCCTCACACAACCAAAAGAAGAACAACAACAAATTTAAAAACAAAAAATAACCAGAACTGCCAGAAAATCGAACTGTATGGAAGTCCAACAACAAAGGAGTTAAAGAAGAAACATTCATTCAGACTGGTAGGAGGGGCAGAGACAGGCAGCTGGGGCAGAGAGGACCAATGGCAAGGCAGCAGCTGGAGGACTGGGTGGGTGAAGTGGCGGCTGGCAGACAGAGTGTTCACATATTTGTGTGTGGATAAACCGGGAGGAACAGCTAGGGAGAGAGATAAACCATGCAACCCAGGGTTCCAGTGCAGGAAAAGAAAGCCTCAAAACCTCTTGCTGTAAAAACCTGTGGAGAATATGGCAGTGGAAGAAACTCCCAGCCTCACAGAAGAGTTTTTTGGAGAGATTCACAGGGTCCTAGAATGTACACAAACACACCCACCTGGGGAATCAGCACCAGAAGGGCCCAATTTGCTTGTGGGTAGTGGGGGGAAGGGATTGAAAGCCTGCCAAGAGCCATGCAAGTGACATTGTTCCCTCTTGGACCCCTTGGTTGCCCGAAGCAGTGATCTGGGTTGCCCCGCCCTGGCAAATACTAAGGCTCCTCCCTTTTAATGTAACAGGTGTGCTGAGACAAAGAAACATGGTCCAAATGAAAGAACAGGTCAAAGCTCCAAAAATAGAACTAAGCGATGAACAGGTAGCCAACCTATCAGATGCACAGTTCAAAACACTGGAAGTCAGGATGCTCACTGAATGGGTTGAGTATGGTCGCAAAATGGAGGAAGAAGTGAAGGCTACACAAAGTGAAATAAAGAAAAATGCACAGGGAACCAACAGTAAAGGGAGGGAAACTGGGACTCAAATCAATGGCTGGGAGCAGAAGGAAGAGATAAACATTCAACCAGAACAGAATGAAGAAACAAGAATTCTAAAAAATGAGGAGAGGCTTAGGAACTTCTGGGACAACTTTAAATGACCCAACATCCAAATCATAGGCGTTCCAGAAGGAGAAGGGCAAGAGCAAGAAATTGAAAACTTATTTCAAAAAATGATGAAGGAGAACTTCCCCAATCTGGCCGAGGAAATAGACTTCCAGGAGATCCAGGAAGCTCAGGGAGTCCCAGAGAAGTTTGGCCCAAGGAAGCACACACCAAAGCACATCATAGTTACGTTGCCCAAGATTAAAGATAGGGAGAGAATCTTAACAGCAGCAAGAGAAAAGGAGACAGTTACCTACAAAGGAGTTCCCATAAGACTATCAGCTGATTTCTCAAAAGAAACCTTGCAGGCAAGAAGGGGCTGGCAAGGAGTATTCAAAGTCATGAGAGGTGAGGGCCTGCGTCCAAGATGACTCTCTCCAGCAGCGCTCTCATTCAGAATGGAAGGGCAGATAGTGTGCTTCCCAGATAAGGTCAAGTTAAAGGAGTTCGTCATCACCCAGCCCTGTTACATGAAATGTTAAAGGGACTTATCTAAGAAAAAGAAAAAGATCAAAATCTATGAACAGTAAAATGACAAGAAACTCACAACCATCAACAACTGAACCTACAACAAAAACACAGGCAAAAACAAACTAAGCAAACAACTAGAACAGGCACAGAATCACAGAAATGGAGATCAGAGGGGACGTGGAGGGATGAGAATGGGGGAAAAGGTGCAGGGAATAAGAGGCATAAATAGTAGGTACAAAATAGACGGGGGGCGGTTGAAAATAGTATAGGAAATGGAGAAGCCAGAGAACTTGTACGTACAACCCATGGACATGAACTAAGGTCGGGGAATGCTGATAGTAGGCAGGGTGCAGGGTTGAGGGGAACCAAGGGAAGAAAAAAAAATGGGATAACTCCCTGGCTGGTGTGGCTAAGTGGATTGAGTGCTGGGCTGTGAACCAAAGGGTTGCTGGTTTGATTCCCAGTCAGGGCACATGCCTGGATTGTGGGCCAGTTCCCCAGTTAGGGGCTTGAGAAGCAACCACACATTGATGTTTCTCTCTCTCTTTCTCCCTGTCTTCCCCTGTCTCTAGAAATAAATTAAATCTTAAAAAATGGGACAACTGTAATAGCATAATCAATTTTATATATATATATATATATATTTTAAAAAATGAAAGTGCAGTCTCATCCCATCTCTTATGGTTTTGTGCTAGGCAATTAGACAGACATGAGCAGAGCAAGGACAATGGGCCAGGTACAGAAGGCCTCCAGGGTGGAAAGTCACAGGTGCCTAGCAAGGGGCAAAACTGGGAAAACAAGGGCCTTGGCCCCAGGATAACCTTTCTTCCACCAGCATATCACTGGTCATGTGGTATGGACCCCCTGACCTTTCCTCCCCAAGGATAACATCTAGGTCTTAGCTGTATTTCAACTCCAGGCCCAGAAAACCAGCAAAACCAGACAAGCAATGCCATGGCTGCCTCAGGACCAGCTGCAATGACTAATGACCTCCCCCGCCCCGCCCAGCTCTGGCACCAACCAATCAGTGGAGACCAGGACCCTGAAAGGACATGCCTGGAAAGCTGATAAATATTCTGATAAAACTCTCCCCAAAAATTCCTGCCTTCAAGAGAAAAATAAAAACCCTCAGGACGAAGGACCCAGCACTCGCTTCTCCCTCCTGGGAGCACGCCTATGCCTTTCCCTTCCCTCTCTTCTGGCTCGGGCCTTTTCTCAGGATCTTCTGAAGCAGCGGTCCCCAAGGGATCCACTGTGGAAGAAGGGAGGAAGCCACACTTGAATTTACCCATGGTCATTGGGGTGGTGTCTCAATTAGGGACTTTGACTGGACCGTCTTTTTGGTGGCCTGCACTCTAGCTCTCTGCAGCAAGGGGCTAGAAACCAGCACTGACCCCTTGCCAGGCTAAGGTATCACCTCAGCCACCATCACCAACCCTTTCCCAGCATTTGGCCAACTGGCAATAGAAAGCAATGCCACCTCTCATGGTCAAGGTCACAGACTTTTTGACCAAAGACAGTGTCCTCTTTTCTTCAAGACTCAATTTCCTCTTTTAGAAGCTAAAACTAATCTCTTGGGGGGCTTCCCATTACCAGTGGATGTACCCGCAGGGACAATCAAGCCTCTTTCAAATAGCCCCGTGCTGCTTCAGCCCTCCTTGCCCTGGGGGGAAGGCACTCACCATTTCACGGGACATCAGGGGCCTCTGAGGCTCTTCCTCTGCTTCCTGAGAGGTGGGTGTGCTAGAATTCATTGTGGAGCTCACTGTGGCCTTCGACCTGGACTCATAGATGGAATCCAGCTTCTCATCTAAGATCTGAGGGTCCAGGATGGGCAGAATCTTGCTGTTGTTTGATGTTAAGAAGTTTTCTGGCCTCTGGGAAGAGAGAGTACAGAGAAATTTGTCCATGCCTCCTTACCATAAGTGCATCTTCCACACCTTAAGCTTCTCCTGCTTGTGGTTCTGGAGGGCCTGCATGTCTGGCTCCTGTCTACCTCCTGTCCTCTTGCTTCCTGGGCCCTCTCTCCACACTCTCCTTGATGTTTCTCTAATAAGCCAAGCTCTTTCTTGCTTCAAGGCCTTTGCATCTGCTGTTCCCTCTGCTGGAGAGCTTTGTGGATTTTCACAAGGCTGCTCCCTTCTCTGCACTTGGATCTCAGTGCAATCGTGATCTTCTCCGAGAGGCTCTTATCTAAAGTAAGGCCTCCTTCAATATACTCTCTCTTCACATTATACAATTTTACTCAGTTTGTAGTAGTTCACCAGAAAATTAATTTTCAAAAAATGTGTTGAGTTGTTTACTCTCTTCCTCACCTCTCTATTCCCAACATTAGAATGTAAGTTACATGTAAGCAGGGACTTTGTTTGCCTGCTATGTCTGCCTTATTGTAGGTGCTCAATAAACATTTTGAAACAATAAAATATGCCATCTATGAATTCCATACTCAGTGCAGTAATGACAAATTCTACAACCTCCATACTCCTTTGACGCCCTTTGCTGTGTAAACTTATTTTCTATTCCATCTCCTCTGTCATTCTTTCTTCTTATCACCCAGTAAACAGAGCATCTCTCCTCTCTCTCCTTCCATGTCCTGTTTCCTATTTTCCTCCTCCCCGGGCACAACCTTCACTCTCATCATGCTTGTCTAGAATTTGACCTCACTCAAATACCAGCCCTTGAAGCCTAGAGGCCTCCGTGCACACTTGTGCAAAACTTTTCTTGGTTCTTCCAGGCTGGCCACTGGCTCTCTCTTGCTTACACTGGTCTCTAACTCCAGGCTTGTTTGCCAGTTTTGTTTTTCTAACAAAACTTGAAGTTCCTTAGGCTCAGGGACATGTCTTTTGTCCTCTCTGGGGAAAGGTTGCTTTAAAGGTCTGTTGAAAACCCATAGTTAACCCTAAAAAGTGCCCATTGTTCAAAAAATTATACAGTATCAAGTTTGTAGGGACCTCAAAGGTGACCTACTTCCACCCTCCATCAGAAGATGGGATTCTGTCTCAGCCACTCAGAAGATGAATATGCCACTGTTTAGAGTGCTTTTGTAGAAGTAAAGAGAAGAATGAGCATGGTGCCAACCAGGACATATGTGTAGGGGTTAGAGGTGTACAGATGTCTGACCCTGAACTGACAGAGTGAGAAGGGGATACTCTATGGGAAACCCTACCCATATGAGTCAGATAAATTTGGACAAGGACCATTCACTTTGCCACTGGGATCCTTTAAATAATGATTTTTTATGCCGTTTAAAAATAAAATTTGGTGTGCAGAAATTCATTAACACCTACCAGTAGAGTAAAGGGTTCATCACAGAAGTAGAGAGGTATCCAACCTAGTCTGGCCTTGCTTCCCTGTTGTCAGATGGGTACAAGGATAAATAATTCCAAAGAGAAAGCAGCTATATGCAGACTCTAGGAATGGGAAGAATGAAGCTTGAGTGACCTTGGGACTGACAATGGCACCTACTGCACTTCAAAACCAAGACTTCTGGGCCTGCTCTGTCCTTGGGCATTATACTTGGCTGTCTCCCTCACCTGCTTCTCTCACTAGCTATGGTTCAGAGAGGGCAAGATTTACTTGAAGACTCCTTGTCGAACATGCCCAGTGTGTCTGTGTAGCCTCTGTGTTGGATGGTTTGGGGATTTGGGGTTGTCTGTTTTATACAGGAAGAAGTACCATATCTCTCTCCTGTTCAGAACAACTGAACACCAGATTGACTGCAGAATGTGTCTTTGATGGATGGATAGACAGATGGATGGATGGATGAATACAAGAGAGAATGAAGGAAAGAACCACCACCCAGAGCAAAGATTAACTCCTCATTGACAAGGTGGCCTCTGGGGCTGGGGTGAGATGCTGATTCAGGACCCATAATGATATTTCTCCTCATTTCCAGGCAGTGAGCCAATTTTGATGCCCTGGATTTCATAGACTGCTCTCTAATCCTGTTAGAGAAGGAAGTAGAAGTAATGAAATAAAGGAAGAGGTCTCCAGAGGTGCCCCATCAGTTCTGAAAGCACAGACACATTGCTGAGGAAGTCCCCTCCCCCACAGCCTGTCTCCCTGACCTCCACTCTGTGTGGCAGCCTCGGCACCAGCTGGGTCAGTGATTCAAAGATGACATTTACTGGGCTCCTACCTGGAGCTGGGTATTCACCAGTTACTTTTATGTGGGTCCTGAAGTTTATTATGTATAATTTGTGTAATTCCATCACAAAGATAAAATAAAAATGAGACGGACCCCAGTGCAGTCCAGTGCCTTCACCCCATCTCTCAGGTGGGCAGGGGCATTTGGAGGAGGAGGAAAGACAAGCAGAGTATCTGTGAATTCCTGTCTATTCTGCCCATTCTATCCCCTCTCACCCCCAGATGCCCTTCCTGTAGCCCTGCCGACTCAGTGGCTCTGCATTGTTCTGCCGGCTCCATGGCTGGCCCTGGCCTGTATCTGCTCTCACAGATGTCTATGCCAGTACTTCTCCACCCAACTGCACCCCACCCCTGCAGGCCTCTTGCCCACATTTCCAATCAACTTTGCCAGGATTTATTGTGACCTGGGGGTGAGGCAAGGTGGGTGGGTGACTTTCGTAGAAAAGTCTTTAGGCCTCTACATGGTATAGGCCCAAGAGGGAAGACCAGAGTCAGTTGCTCTTGTCATGTGAGGCAAGGGGCACCGGGAAGAAAAGCCCACAGTGCCTCATAAAGTGCCTAAATTCTCCCTAATAGTCCCATTTCTTACCTCTCCAGACTCTTCAACCTGCCCTGTTTTGGGAAGAGAATTGTGCTCTCCCCTCCTGGCTCCTCGTAGGAAAGGAGCTTGGTTAAGACTACATGGGGGGAGGCAGGCTGGTGGCAGTGGTGAGTCAGAGTGGAGGATGGGTGCTAACTCCTTCTTACTGAGGCCCAGCTTTGCCTGGCTCTCCCCTCTTCCTCCAGGTAGGGGTGGAAGTGGAGGCTACTGGCCCACCCCACAAGCCTGCTTACTTGTTTGTCCACTTGGAAAGCCTTACCCTGCCTGCTGAGGCAGCTTGGGGCTGACAAGTGGCCCCTCGCTCTGTGGCTGCAGCCCGTCTTGCTTCATTAGGGCTGTGATTGAAGACCTACTTTGAAAGCTCAAACAGATGCATAGCCACGCACCGGCTCAGGCTCGGAGCTCAGCCCACCACTCCTTGTGCTGCCACACCAGCTGTCCCACAAAACGTGAGTGCCGTGGTGGGGAGCGGGCACTCTGTCCTTATGCCTCTCAGACCTCACTGCTGAGGGTCTGTTGAGCAAGACCAGACCAATAACATCACAAGCTCAAGGCTTTGGGGGTTACCTGTTCCCCCTCCCTCCACCCCTGCTCCACTTACATCGTCTGTTTCTCCCTTGCCCACTCCATCCCCCAGATCCCTGATCATGCAAAATGCAACAGTTATGGCTTGCCCTGGCAATTAGACAAGCCAGGTTGCAGCTGCTGTCCTTGGTGCTGAAAGTGTCCTCCTACCGGACTGCTTGCCTCCCGCCCTGAGCTTTCCCGCTGGAGTGCACTGCTCTTAATTCAATTAGCTGGTTCTGAACTCTCCCCAGGGAGCCTGGAGCGGAAACTGACAAATTCTGTTTAACAAAGACATTTGTCCCTCGCCACGCCAGCTTTGGGCTCTGCCTGCCTGTATCACCCCCTCCCCTCGCCCCTGCTATTAGGTATCTAACCAAGTGCATCCCAAGGAACCTGTTTCCAATCGCTAGTAATTCAGGGGGCCTGATGCAATTTTCTTTTTGATAAGGGTGTCTCGCCCGCTGGCAAGCGCCATAATGAATCTTCTGCAGAGGCTCCCTGATCAGTCATTGCTTTGTCATTTCCTGTGTCAGAAGTTGTAGGTTCTTATCTCTTCAGCTGAAGGCGAGGCTCAGGCAACAGGCCTCTCCCAGATGGCTTGCTGCCTCTCCTGAACATTGCAAGCCTCATTGATGGTATCCTGCATGGTCTTGCAGCTGCAATGAGGTTTGAAGCTCTGAGTCTGTCTCCCAGCCAAGAAAGGCCCAAGTGTTAATCCTCACTGGGGCCACGATTCATTCTCCAGAAAATGGTGTCAGAGGGTTAATCTAAAAGCAAGTTGTAGAGTCAGGGGTGGGCACCCAGTGATAAGAACTTCTAAAAAATTCTGGCAGAGATTTTAATATTAAACAAAGCTTTGTCGATGGCTCAGTGGATAGGCCGTGGGCTCACTCTTGTAACCCCGAAACCTGGTCTTTCTGCATTTAATCTTTATCTTTGGTTTCTCCCTATTTACATCCATAGAGACTGTTCCAACATATAGGTCAAATAATATCCTACTACTGCTCAAAGATCTTCCTTAGCCTCCTATCACTTTGTGAAAAAAAATCTAAACCCTGTATCCTGATGTCCAGGCCCTCTAAAACCCTGGCTCCATATAACTCTCCAGTATCAAGGCCTACAGCAGCCTCCCTGTGTCCCATGCTCTCTAGACACTGTCATGTCTCCATGGCTTTGGACTTTTGGTTTCCCCTACCTGAAGCACCTTCCCTTGCCAATTTGAAAGCCATTCCTTGAGGCAGAACTCACCATGCTTGTCTATGGCTCTTCCATGACTTTTGGATGCTTAATGCACCTACCTCAACTAGAACCCTTAGCAAGATGGGTGGTGGTGATTTATGGGGTTGCTTTACTTCTTAGCACAGGTTAAGAATCTAACGAATGATGAATGAATTCATGCCTGAATGACCTTGGCTGAAGCAGGGGTGCATCTGGTTTGGCCGAAGGGAGGTCTAGGCTAAGGTAGCCTGATTTTGACATGAAGAGAAACCCAAGTGCATCTCCCACTTTCTGAGAAGTTTGGTCTGGAAGCTTTTGCCCCCCTGTCTCCCTTTCTCTCCCCCT